GAATATTATGAGAATAGTTGGACCAGGCCTGTTTTACAGAGACATTGATTGTTATTCAGCGACCATTGAACCTCAGTTGGAGTATGAATTCAACTTATTATCTGAACGGACAAATGAAGGCAAGAAATATTTTAGCGAATAGTGCAAAACTATTTACAATGGTCACGGTAATGTATGTAATGTTATGGCGGTGAGCATCACTGCTTAATAAGTATTTTTAGTGTAGTTCCTGTTAAATATTAATACATCCCAGGCTACAGAGTGAAAATTACAAAAAAATGTCATTTGAGTTGTAACAAATATCGAGGACCATGTGAGAACAATGTTAAACCAAATTAAGTAAATATTATAACCATTTGAAACACTGTGCTAATGCGCCACTGATCGGTAGAAGAGGCCTAATATGTGTTACCAATTACTTGTTGCACTTATTCAGATGAGATAGTTCTGGTGGGTAGACATGTGGGGTGTGAACCCGACACACATGTGAGCACATTGCGGCCTGAGTTTTAAATCCACAGAGCATTGATCTGCAGTGTTTCAGATGCCTGTCATTATAGCACAGAAACTCTCGTAAATGTTCTGTTTGGCGCTATATATCTTGTAATTTGCTGTTACATTATTTGCGTTATTTGATATATTTCTATTTGTAATAATAGTGGATTTAGATAACTCGATCTAATGTGTTAATTTGGCCGCTATTTACTTGAACCACCCATCCAGGTCCTGCTGCAAAGCACCGGAAATTCTGTGGTATAGCCCGTGTTGACTACAATACTTTTTATCTCTTTGTATGATCTGCCTCTGCAGCTTCCGCTCCAGTAGTCCTCGTCTCCCAACCTGCCACCCCTTCACCCCCAACCCCCAAAAAATACATCCCCCAATCCGCGATCCCCCGTCTCTTTCTCGCTCTCTCACACACACACACAAACACAGTGGATTTAAAGCAGTAAACAATGTGATCGGACATCAGTTGCAAATACTATAATAAGGACGGAATTTATTTCAAGCTCCACATCCTGAACCTTTAGCAAAGCACCAGAAACTGCAGTGCACAGCCTGTGCCAAAAAACATAACGTAATACTAACTCTCCTGATAATCTGTCGCTTTAGCTTTTGCGATCAGTTCGGCTCGTTCTCTCTCAGTGTCTCTCGCTCTCGCACACACACACACACACAAACACACACAAACACACAAACTTGTCTCAAGCCGGAAACAAGCAGTAGCTGAGATGTAATCTGACAGCAGTTGCAAATGTAACTCTTTCAAACCCAACAGGCACCACAGAACCTTAGTAATTTATAGCTCAGAATAAATTCATTTGAAATATGTGTGATTAAATGATGTTAACCCTTTTTCACATGAGGTAGTTCTGGCGGGCAGACGCGTCGGCTGTGAACACACCTCAGATGTCAGGAAAATTGGGCCTCTGAGGTTTAAATTTCAAACCGACTTGATCTGCACTATTTGCGATGATTGCAGTTATAGCACAGAAGCGCTCGGGAATTATCTCTTTGTTATAACATATTTTATTTTCTGCTCATAACGTTAGTATTAATAATAGTGGATATAGATAAAGTTCCCCCAACCTCACCCCCCCACCTTCCGTCCCCCACCACGATCTGTTTCTCTCTCTCACACAGGCATGCAAACACGGTTGGTTTTAAGCAGGAAACACTCAGGCGGATAAGATTTTATCGGATATCAGTTGCCATAGTAACTCTTTTACTCCTCAGAGAGGAGTATCAAATCACCATGTGTTAAGCATTTACAGCACAGAAGAGAAACATTTGTCGTCCGTGTCTTTCAAAGTAAAACGTGTTTAGTCCAATTCACCAGCCTTTCCCTGCAAGTTCTGATTCGCAAAGGAGAGATAACATTAAAGTGAGTTTATTTCAGAGAGGGGAAAATTATATTTATAAAGGCAAGGCGAAACCTTGGGCAAGTTTCCTTACTCCACGCGCCTAACAATGATCCCTCCGAAACCAAAAGCAATGAAAAATTGGTTGTTTTCTAACGACGACTGTTAGTGGGACATTGCTGTGCGCAATTGGCTGCCGGGTTCGCTCACAAATATACCGTCAATTCACTTTACAGTGTGTTCTGTGAAGCGCATTGGGACGTCCTCCCGACGTGAAAAGCGCTGTATCAAATGCAAGTATTATTATTATTATTATTCACACTGAACCAGGTAATAGTACAGCAGCGCAGACATTGGAGCGCAGAGCCGCAGGAGGCCAAGGGTACTCAGGGAAGGGCACAGACTTTGGAGCTCAGATACTGTGGATTTGATCGACAATCAGTAATACAGTCTTAGATTTTTAAAGCGACCTCCACGTGGCACGGCGTCTCAGATTACTCCACAATAACGAATACTGGGGCAGAGTTTGATATTTATTGAAGACCATTTTAATTTCACTCACCATTTACAATCTGTTTGTTAATTAGACAAACAGTCAATAGCAGAAATCTCTCTTGTGAGACATGGTGGGTGTTGTCAATATATCTATTCTCTTTTATTTGCTCTTGTACACTTAGCATGAATCCCAAAATTAACACACGCTGCAGTTTACAGAACAACCATAGACGATTCTGGTTCCGACACACCCTTCATCTGAAACTGGATCCGTTTTTAACCAATTGACCAATGTCTCTTTTTAGCAGATAAAATAACTCGATTGGTATAATTCAACAAATATGCTCAACAAATACTTGCAGAAATCTAATAATTTTATCACAATAAATGTTTTGAAATGACGAGAAAATAAAAAAAAATTCTTAAGCTCTATTGCAGTCTAGAATCGTAAGCATTAAAGTAAAGTAGAAGCAAAATAGTAAAGGAAAATTTACTACCATTTTCTGTTTAATATGATAAAAATACTAAAGGCGTCAGATCATTGCAATGAGTTAAATATACATTATATTCACCTTGAAATGCACACAAATCATTCTGAAAATCACATAAGAATGGTTTACACAGAGGAAACACAGAAACGTGCCATCACATAAGAATGTGACACGGGTTCATATTGATTGCGTTGATAAGTTGGTGGAACATGTAGCTTCATCTTGTCCACTGGTTCTCTATTTGAAGATAATCATGAATTATGGGTGATGCAAATTCAGTTGAATAGCTCAGTAATACAGACAAAAAAATATACTACTTAAAGGAAAGAATTGTACTCTCATCAATAACATATTATTGATCAATTTATAACATGCTAAAGTACAGCATATTGGCTATGATAATCTCTGGGGCTGTTACTTTGGTTTCGTTCACCTGCTGCTGTTTGAGAGACTGTTTCCAAATATTTTCGTTAATGTTTCTGTCACTTGTTACCACATTTAAAAAGACAGAAGGACTTTTTGCGCTCAAATAGCAGAATGTTAAATTAGATTTTGATTCAGGAAATTAAAATAAAATTTCCGCAAGTAAAGTATAGGAACAATAATCTATGAGTCAAATAAAGAAAACAGATTCAACAGTTTAGAATGGTAAATACAAATTTAAAGTTTAAGTCACATCCAACCAAGGATCACATCAATGTGAAGTTGTTTACAAGAATAGTTCCTTCATCAATTGGCGTGAATACCTATGTGGCAGTTGCACATGATCACTACCATTCTGTCTAATATCAGACTCAGGTCAGGATTGCGATTGATTAGAATCACTGACTGGTGCTGGTCAAGGTTTATAGTCAATAGAATCAGCCCTTACCGAACAAACCTGTAACTTTGGTTCCAAATACACATGTCACCATGTCATTTGTGGGCTTCTGTAGTGTTAAATAATGCTGTAAATCATGAAGCCATAAGCTCACCTGTTTGGTCTGGATGTTAAGATCAGACGGTGCAGAGCTCGGGAGATCCGCTTTGATCCCAATGGGAAGCTGACTGTCCTGCTCGGTGTCATTGTCACAGTCAACATCATCATAATCATAACCACACTGACTGGTGTCAACCGGAAACAGCGGGTCACTCGCTGTGTGATGTCCACCCCCTATGGAGAGATCCATCATTTATTTGTGATAACATTCAGAAAGGCGTCGCTGTGTAACTGTAAGTGTGTATCTGCGTGTGCACTTGTGTGTCTGTGTATGTGTGTGTCTGTGTGTCTATGTGTGTTGTCTGTGTGTTTGTTTCTCTGTGTATGTCTGTCTGTCTGTGCGTGTCTGTGTGCTGTGTGTGACAATTTTTGTGTGTCTGTGTCTTTCTGTGAGCGTGTATGTGCTCGTTTGTTCCTGTGTATACACACGCATGTTGTGTATGTTTGAGTTTCTTTGGGTGTGTATCTGTGTCTTTGTGTGTGAGAGAAAAATACCGACTGTGGAGATAACCACCTTGGATTTTTGTTTGCGTACCTTACCTCCATTACTACAATTATAATTTCAAAAACTTGAAGGGTGGGGCGTTTAAGATGGAATTCCTACTCACTTGTTAAATTTTAAATGGATCATTAATTTTTAAACATTCATTTCAATAATTCCTGATAGTGTTGTAAACAATTATTTCCTTAATTACATCTTGATTATTATTAACAGGACATAGAAGCAAGCATGCCTGTGTTAATCGGTAAGTCACAGCACCATTTAATATGCGCAGTTATTAACATGACACACAGCACCACTCTGTATGTGCCATTATTGACATTACCGGTAGCATCGGAGATCAATTCATCAACACGAGAAATATCCGATTTCAGATAGCACATCGACCCGTAATTAGTCTTATTTTAGCTATCATAGCAAGGCCAAATATCAGCAACTGCCTATTACAAAGCCCTAAGAGCAAACATGTACCAACTGACCTACACTTTTACATTCACTGCAAGTTGAAGCGTATCCACGATGTGCCAACTTGAAACGCACTACACAAATGTAATTCTTGTTGCACTTATGCCATAAAATTTCTGTATCGAATGGAAGATTGATTATACTTGTGACTTTAATTATGATTTTCACTCCCAGATGTGTTGTTGATTAAACATCTCCCTAATAGGTTAAGACATGAGAGTTAGGCTGTTACCCTGGCAGAGCGAATCTTCCTGGACAGTGGGACTGATCAGTGTTGGAACCTCAGTGTGTGCTTCAATGACCAGGAGGAGGCCGCGGTCCGCCAGCTGGAAGGTTCCGCTCTTAGCGTCGTCATAATCTTCCTGAAGATGATCTGTTAAGAGGCAGTCAGTCTTACACACTCAAACATTCAGACAGGAAAAGGAGGCACAGAAGGAGGCCATTCAGTCCATCTTTTGAAAGAGCGACCCAAATTACTCCAACTCTTTCGCGCTTTCCGCACTGCCCTGCAGATTTGTATTCCCCAAATATGTATCTATATTGACCCAACTTTGGAAACAGTGGTGCTCAATGTATCTTATGCCTGAAATACTGAAAAAGTCCTGAATTTCTTTTTGGATACGTTATCTGAAGATAGAAGCTTGTTTTATAGTGAAACCAGCATAAATAGCGTGCTCTTTAGCCACCAGGTCAGAAGGTTCTGAGTGTAATCTAATCGGGGACTATAACATCACACTCTGGCAAACACTGCATGGCAGTGCTGGAGGAGTGCAACGTATTGAGCTCAGTTCGCCTGTTTAGCTGCAATTGAAATATTGCAAAACTCACCAGGGTAATAGGGCTTATCCTGGAGGGCTGGCCAACATTCCCTCAGATTGGTTGTTTCGTTTACTTCATTACTGTTCCCAGTTTGCGCACAAATTGCCTTTCCAGTTCATCAACAGATACACAGACACAATGAATCATTGTAAACATATGTGAAGTGCTATGAAACGTCTCGTTGAATTGATCAGATGCGGAATCAAATACAATATTTATTTCACACACTCACCATCGCCATTGGGTAGAAACACTTCAGGGTTTCCTTCTTCTGCATCTGAACCATTCACATTCTCCCCAGTGTAGTACTCCAGTTTACTGATAGAATCGTTGGATCCTGAAACTGAGCAAATAATGTCATTACTGTCCAGCTACAGAGGTTGTTAGAGTCTAATTCAACTCCTGTATCAAAATAAAGAAACGTACCAAACAATTAGACTTTTTTTCCAAAACCGTGGATCATTTTTCGTGGACGAAAATAAGGTCAACCGTTGAGAAATATGACGTTAATCAAAACAAATTCTTTAGCATACCAGGAGCAAGTTGGTTGCATATTATTGATATGATTTTTGAATATTGCCTCTGTTTGGGCAAGAAAAGACATATTTGAAAAGATGACATTATTTTGGATATTCTCTGGACGACAGAAACACAATAAGCATTGCTAACACTAATTTCTGTAGGATTCGTTTTGGTGAAATAGTAAAGCCAAATATCTAATAGTTATTTTCCTCTGTATTAAATTTTGTAATATAACTGCCCTCAATTGGTAAATGCAGAAATCAGTGTTGATAATATTTGAAAGTTGAAAGACCGAGCAAATTCATGTATTGAGTAGTTCTAATCTATTTTAACCGGGTAAATTGATACAATACCACAAGGTGGGGCTTTTTCAGTTCTCTGAATAAAAGCTTGAAATTCTATCACAGCGCATTTCAGTCATTGCATTTACCAACAAACGGGACCCTAATGTTGATGTTTGTTTGTACAATGATTCGGGTAAAATAAACATGATTGTAAAGTGTATACCAGGGGAGCCAGCCTCAAAGTTCCTTGTTCTGATTGGCCGATCCTCAATTTCTTCATAAATTGCTTGATAAAAACGAACAGATGGATATTTTGCTTCTGTTGGAAGTTGATATGTACATAAATTAAAATATTAACCATAAATTTCACAATGGAGTTTGAAATTGATTTGTAAATATCTGGATCATATAACGTGAGTTTTATTATTTGAAAAAAATCAGTATGGCGACGTCACTATTGTCTTATGTTTCATCAGTGTACATGTATTTTACGTGTTTGTTTCAATCTATAAATATGACTATGCATTTATATTTAGGTACCTAAAATATTTACTTAGCTCTGTGTGTTGGCTTGTTAATATATCTGTGTATTTGCAATGCTTTGTGTATGTACCGGTTTGGGCGCGTTTAACTACCTATGTCTTTGTATTCAGCATAAAAAGTATGTTGGCGTGCTTAGTTTATGTTGAGGCCTAATTGTGTCTGGTGGGTTTCTTTATGCATCTGTGTTTGTGCATGAGATATGCTTTTGAACGCATATGTCTTGATTTTCAGTTTGTGCACCTTTACAGATACACATGAACATACGCAATGAAATCGAGACAGTATAAACAGTTAAGAGTATTAAATTAACAAAAGAGACACGTGCATCAATTTTATCTGAATTGAGAGAGATCTCTAGGCAGCGCTGTGAGACCAGATTCCAGGCTCACCTGTTCCTGAATAATTGCTGTCCATCTGTAGAATCAGTGCAAACAGTACCACTGTTAACAGGATTCCAAGCACGATACAGGCCACAAAAGGGATGTTGATCAACTGAACTTTGCAAATCAAGTACACAACACTTGTTATTTTTTGTTGCATAATATGTCGTCGTCACTCTTTAAAATTATAATAAAAAACGTTCATACTATACTGAGCGATATCTCAGACCAAATAGAGTATGACATGTCGCACAGTTAGTCAGAAGAATGCCCAAACCACTTTAACAATGAAATATATGGAACTCTTTTCCTAAAAGTAAAACATACTATTAATTTCTAAAAAGTTGACCTCTGACAGGTTAGTTTTCAAATATACTCTTTAAGTATATTTCCTTGTTTACGAATCAAAAACAATACCTAGTGGTAATAAGTATGAATGTTAAGCAACACATCATCAAGAATGCAAGTAATTGCGTTATTTACCAAAGGATGGGGTTGGGATTGGCGGTTTCGGAAGTTTACCTGCAAAACATCACATTAAACATTAATCCAGTAACAATTCTATTTCTAGCTTCAAGTGATGTCAGTACTAATCTGCTTTTGTTGAGAAAAATAAAAAAATCTCTAATTTGTCAAGAAAAAACTATAAACTTTTGAGAGATCAGATCGCTACCTGAGCAAACCACACCAGCATCTTCTTTATGATTGCAGTCACTTTGATCCGCGGATGAAGCGACACAATCCCACAGAAAGGATTCACTTCCTCTACAGTGAAGCTCGTCCAGCCATATCTGACCAGCGCCTTGTCCAAATCCCGCCTGCCCCACAGCCCGCACGGCGGGGCCGCAGTCAAGCTGTCTGCACACCACACTGGCCTCTCGGATATCCCAGGAGTCGTCACACACCGTCCCCCACGTGTTATTGCTCAATATCTCAACTCTCCCAGAGCAAATGCTGCTTCCTCCAACCAACCGCATCTCCTGTCCTGAATGGACAACAACAACAAAAATATAATATTTTTATCGCGCCTTTCACGTCGGGAGGACGTATTCATAGAAAGTATTCATATCACATGTCAGTTGCTCACACAAATAAAATACGTATTCTTCCATATTATGATGAATCGAAATTTACTCCAAAACATTATTTATAGGATCTGTTTAATTATCCTATAAATAATCCTTCAAAAATAAATCATAATAATAATTTGGTCTCTCGATCCTCAACTGTGGAACACTTCTTTGTACAATTTGGTGCCGCGTTTCACCTATAAATATACCGTCGATTAACTTTCATGTGTTTTCTGTGAAGTCCAGAAGACGTGAAATAGCATTACTAAATTATTATGCAGTCGATGCATGTTACAGTAGATACCGTGAAGCCCATTTAGAAATCCTGGTTTGAATGCTTGGGTTAAAAACACAATTTCCTTCTTTTCAATTTTTTTTCACTCAGTACCTGATAAATGAAGCTGTTGATCAGGTGAACTCCCACTGCACTGTTTTGCACGATCATTTTGTTTCGGAGCTTGCTCTGCATTAAGTATACATTTATAAATGAAATGCTTCAAATATAAATACAATATATATTGGCTCAGAAATATTAGCTGAGGAACATTTTATTACCTGAACAAACTACACGCAAGTCGTCTGTATGATCACAGTCATGTTCTCCCCAAGGTGGGGAAGAGCACTGCCACAGGAAGGATTCCTGTGAACTACAGATTACATCGTCCAGCCAAATAGGTCCAGATCCTTTTTCATATCGACCACTATCATCAACAGCTACAGCTTCGCCACAATATAGCTGTTTGCAGATCACCTCAGCATCTTTGCGACTCATGGAGTCCGAGCAAACAGTTCCCCAAGTCCCATTGTAAAACACTTCCACTCTGCCTTCACATGAATGTTGTCCGTTTACCAACCGCAGCTCCTTGTGTTCTTTGACGGCAAAAAGATGAATTTCATTAAAGTTTTCGATATCTTAAATTTAGTACGGGTCCATTTTTAACTAAATCTTTTATTGGTGCTGGAGAACATGTTGGAATAATTTACAACATTATATTTGACGTTTCAAAGACCGTAAATTGGTAGTACTATTCTTCTCTGATAAAGTCCAAAATGGAATTCAAGCCTCTCAAATAGTCTACGGTCCATGAACATTTTAGACGTGTTTGTAACTCTGGTGACGGACTATCTAGTCAGATCCAGGGAAAGCAATGTACCAGCACCAGCCTCAAATAGAATGACCATGTTCGATATGAAAATTGTTGGTCAGGGCACGAGGAGAAAATCCCAAGCCGTTTCCTTGTGATTTGTGGGATGATTTATTGTCACCGAAGCAGGAAGTGACAGCCTCGGCAGCATTTACCAGGATATTGGATTGCCAGACCTATCCATAAATATGGCAGGTGGCATTTGTACCCACAACCTTCTGTCTCAAGCGATAGTTTGCTTGTAATAGAACCAGTCTGACACCTTATCAGTACGTGTTGATGATGAAAGACAAAGTGTTTAATTTTTACCTCTACACAAAATGCTCACATCTTCTTTGTGATAAAAGTCATGCTGCCCCCATGGAGAAGAGGCACATTCCCATAGAGCTGATTCCTTTCCTGAGCATCTCACTTCATCCAGCCAAACTGGGCCTGGAACTCGACCACAAGGAGCAGAAGATGCTGCATTAACAGCAGATCCACATCCCAGCTGTTTACACACAACATCCGCCTCAAGTAATCCCCAGGAGTCATCACACACCGTCCCCCAGGTTCCATTGTAGTAAATCTCCACTCTCCCAGCACAAGAACTCCCACCTTCCATTAGTCTGATCTGAACATCTTCTGTTGAACGCAAACAAAATTAAATTTATTGGATAACATGCATCAGCTGATACAGTATAATATAATGATTATACAAATGTAGGAGAGATGAGAGGAAAAGATGAACTGAGTGTTTGATGTTATAGTAGATATTTGTCGGTTAGCCAATCTTCTTTAATCAAATATAACCAGGCACTAGCAATGCCCATTGCTGACAGACAATCTCAGAACAGAAGCTGCTCAAATGCAGATTGCAGTTCAGTACTAATAACAAGTCAATTTGTTTGGGTTAACACATTCTCGGGTGTCTCAAAGCACTTCACAGAATATAATGTAAAGTGAGTTCACTATATTTTCCGAAGGAAATGCAGCAACTGCAAATCAGTGGCTCACAAACAGTCGTGGATAGAGTGAAAAAATTATTTATAATTTTTGTATTTATTGAAGCGATTATTACCCCAAGAAAAGCTTCCACCAATTGAGTAACAATCGGGTACGAGTTAAAATCGAGTATTCAAAATTACAATATTTATAAATATTCACTCACTGGAACACTGAACTCCAACATCACTCATGTTCCCAGTTGATTTGTTTAGGCTGGACTGTTTGCACTTCAACAGATGCGATTCGTTTCCTTGACACTGAACATCTTTGAGCCATGGGAACTGTGCACCTTCTCTATACACCGGGGAGCTATAGGCTGTAATGGCAGGACCACAGCCCAGCTGTCTGCAAACCACATTCGCATCACTTGAATCCCAGAACTGATCCTGCATTCTCCTCCAGTTTCCATTGCGATAAATCTCCAATGTTCCAGAGCAGGAACTGCCACCATCCACCAGTCTAAGCTGTTTGTGATCTGTTTCAATGGAACATAAAACGTCAGGTTTCCATTGGGGAAAAATAGTACATTTGGTTATAATATTATTCAGCATCCAGATAATAATTGTCACTCAATGTATTGAGTGTGTGTGAACCTTCATTATTACTGAATGTCATTCTCCTGTCACAGCGCTTTCACAACACCACATGTGGAATAATTCAATGATATTGGACGTTTGCACTTCTATGGAGTAACAGACAATCATCGACGGGAAAGCATATTGTAAGTTATTTAACAACGTGATATTAAAATTTACAATATTTTATTTTATTTATCAGTAAAATGCACTCACCTGAACAAAGAACTCCCACATCACTGCTGCTCCTGGAGGGTGAAGCCATTGTGGAATGTGGGCAGATCCAGATGTGTGTCTCGCTTCCCGCACACTGAACATTATTGATCCACACAGGTCCAGTGCCTTCCCCGTACTGGGAAGAGTTGTAGACTGAAATAACAGAGCCACAGTTCAGCTGTCGGCAGATGACATCGCCATCTGATATAGTCCACGAATCATCCAGCAATCTTCCCCAGGTGCCGTCATGATAAATCTCCACTCGCCCATCACAGCGGCTCCCACCGCCCTCTAACCGTAAATGCCACTGTTTACCTGCAACGATTTCAATCGACAATTACTCAATCAAAACGTGTGAGATATGAAGGCAAGATAACCATAGCTTGTCGAGAATAAAAATATGGCATTTCGAATGCGATAATATACCTGACATCATGAGATAGAATAATCAAGAATAGCGTAGAAATTACAAGAATCTTTCACAAACTGGGATGTTAGCAATGTTCAAAACCATACATAAACAAGGGAAAAGAAACACAATGAGAGCAGCCTCCAGCCAAATAACTCAAGACAAATCACCTTAAATGGTAGAAGGACAAGACACTTTAACAATAGGAGAATATCGGAAACAATCATTGCAATTGTAGCAGAAGAGCATGATCATCACAGCCTAAAACCAGAGAATGTTTCTCATCAGGAACAGGCTACAATGAGGGAGTCTGCGCTCCGGTACCCTTTGTAATAATATAAATAATATATTTTTACAGACTCGGGGAAAATGGTTCATCTTGAAAATCTCAGCAAGCCAGGGAATTGGTTTGTCCTCTGTCTTAGAAACTGAGATTGTCGTCACCATTATACCTGAGTAAGATCCCATCGAAAATATTATTCTTACAATAGATCAAGTTCCTTAAAACCGATAGCGTGTTACTTAAGTAAATGTTGATTTTACTTTGAAAGATTATGAATCAACTGGTTTTGTAATTGTTGTCTTTTTCACTGCAAAGCAAACACTTAAGTCACTTTAAATTATAATCTTTGAAGCACTTTGAGAAGTCTGAACGACGTGGTAAAACGCGATATGAATTGCAAGATTATGGTTATTTCACTCACCCGAACATACAACAGTTACATCATGGTCATGTGTACAGCTGAACTCCTCCCAGAATGATACAGCACAGTCCGACACAAAGGATTCATTACCAACACAGTTGAAGTTAGTTTTCCAGATAAAACCTGTTTCTTTTCCAAACTGTGTTCCAGAACCAGTTGACAAAGCGAAGCCACAATCCAGTTGCCTACAGAGAACATCGGCGTCCTGTAAATCCCAATAATATTCGCAGACGGTTCCTGATTTATAATTGCGCTGCAACTCAACTCTGCCAGAACATGTATTGTTTCCACCGATTAATTTTGGGGGATAGTGTTCTGCCGTGGAAGAATTAACGTGATATGAATTATTATAACACAAAAAACTTAACTAGCGATTGACAAAGGGATTAACTACAGTCAGCAAACAGGTGAAAATTTAAACAATCATCAGAAATGTAGAGTTTGAAATCTACATTTAGATACATTTCAGGTGACTCAGGTAGTATTTAGGCGGCCTGAGACGCTACCTGCGTGGAGGGCGCTGTATCAGTGCAAGTTGTTATTGTTGTGCTGATTAAGTTGAATTTACCTACTGATAATTTATCCAGCTTCAAAAGGATACAACGAACTGCGACTTGCACGTCAGAATAACGTCTCAAACATTTAACAGTTCAAGCTGTGCATTGAGGGTGAGGGGTTTGGGCTGGAATGACATTACCTGCATCTCAATGGTGTCTGCATTGGGGTCTAAGAGGGTGAGGAGGAACAGTAACTGCTGTGCAAGTGGAGTCTGAGAGAGTGAGGAGAGAACCACCTGATAGGCAATGGGGGTCTGAGCAGGTGAGGAGAGACAAAGCCTGAGGTGCAGTGGGGGACTGAGATTGTGAGGAGAGGAATGGAGTATCTGCTGTGCAATGAAATCCGAGAGGATGAGGATTTACAGTATCTGCTGTGCAATTGGAGTCTGAGTGGGTGAGGAGAGATAGTACCTCCTGTGCAATGGGGGTCGGAGAGGGTGAGGAGGGGAACGACAATAACTTTGGTGCAAAGGGCGTCTGAGAAGATGAGAAAAGACAATACCTACTATCCAATGGGAGTTTGAGAGAATACTGAAAGGACTGAAAGTTCCTGCTGTGCAATGCGGATCTCAGAAGATGAGGAGGGCAATGAAAACGAAAGCACAATCGATAAACTCGGGCTATATTTTGCAGCAATTTGCCAATTAAATCCAGGAACGCAAAATTCGGAGCGATTCAGGGATGATACACTGTAAGGAACCATATTTTAGTTCCGGTTTGAAAACAAGTCTGATTGAATGATTGAAGCCTCTCCTGAGCATACAAATGGAGAATAAAGAAAATCATCATTGAGAGGCGGCGGAGGGCGTTGGTCGGGGAGGTGGGGGGCGGGCGGAGGGGTGGGGCAGTGCAGCGTGACCCTCCAAGTTAGTGAATTAATAATAACCTGTCAAAAACATGCAACACAATCTCTATGAAAGTTTCTCAAACTGTGGTTTTTTGAAAATATGAGTACTCAAATAATTTATCGGAGACTGAATTATTTACCTGAGCAGATGACGCCGGCATCAGAGGAGTGTGACACCCCGTAAACTGAACAGTCACCCCAGTCACCTGACTGACAATCCCTCAGAGTAGACTCGCTCCCTCTGCAATGAACATTTATTGTCACAACGGGCCCTGAGCCTTCGCCAAAGTGAGCGTCTCCCGGTGCTGACAGCGCAGCTCCACAGCCCAACTCCTTACACACCACAGCCGCGGCCGCCATAACCCAGCCAAAGCCATCCACTGTGCCCCATTTTTCTCCATGGTAAACCTCCACTCTCCCGGCACACGGGCTGCCGCCATTCGCCAGCCTCAAGTGATCTGCATAAACATCACCAACAAGATGCCTTTGTATTTGATTTCCACTCACGCAGAATAATCATCACTATAATAACACAACTTGTACTTAACCGGTAGCGCCCTGAATCGCCGTCCGGCGTTGAGAGCGCTTTAAAAATCCGAATTGCTGTTGCTGTTGGAGATGTTTCATTTGCCTACAACTCACTGCACCTTACAGTAAATTCTGTGAAGCGCTGGAAGAGTTGTGCAAACTGAGTCAGAGCAGTATATTTAAACAATAATCGGACTTTGAGAATAGTTTTCAGAACATGATAGATTTAAAGGTGTTGCACATACCACGTGTCTTCACATGTCTGGTAACATGTAAAGGCGAAGTGGGATGTGGGATAATAATATGTTGTTAAAATTTATACAAGATGTAAGGTAAGCGTGGACTAGAATCGAGGTGTGGCAGGTAGGTTGGGAGAACCGGGTGGAGAAGCTTGTAATTCATTAGACGATTTGATGCTCAAAACGAGGTTATTAAAATTGTTTTACTTAGGTTTGTTTGAATAGTAGATTACATAAGGTTGGAAAAGGGTGGTCGGAGAACGGATCACTTATCTTCCATTTACACCCATCTCTCAGTGAATCAATCAGTCAATATACATTACTGTTTTCATGCTCAGATGGAAGACGTGAATCGCCTTGAGCGTTCCTACAAATATGACGTTAAAATTCAAACAAACAAAGGAAATATTCCTCACAATTCAGTAATGTAAAGGAGTGGGAAAAGGCAAGGACATGAAATGTATTAAAATTGCGGGATCGATCATCACAGTAAAAAGAATATCATTTGTCTTCTTGTACACATGCCGTGCCTAACACCGGGGTTAGAGTCCCTGAGCACGTAACAGGGCAGAGCTTGTCCAGAAACACCGCAACACCCTTCCTCAACCCCTCATCCTTGACTCCCCATTTAGATAACACAGGAAGAGATTCTCCTTCGACGTCCCTCTTTTTCTGGTGTCGGTGTCCTGCTGTTCCAGGCGCTCTGGGGCGCTAGCCTGCATGAGGGAAGCTATACAAATGCAAAATGTTATCGTTGAGGCCGAAGGCAATGGAAAGGTATGGCTGCTAGAGGAGTGGGTTATCAGTCGGATCGTTAGGGTATGACGTGAGTGGCACATGAGTGTTAGGATCATTACAAGTATCCGTTTTGCTAATGGAAGCCAATGGAGCCTGGAAAGTATAAAAGCTGCAGCAAGTTGCATCTACAGTACATTTAGTACCTTTTATGTCGGGCGGATGGCCTCAGGCTTGGGTTTCGTTGTGCTCTCAAAGTTTTGATTCAATTGTATTTTATGAGTTTTTTGCTGAGGAACGAATAACTTATCCAAAAATATACTCACCTGGTTTCTTATCTTGACTATCGACTTGAGGGCCTGAAACGAAAAAGTTTTCGCCAGTTACATATTTTAGAAGTTTATTTCGGATGATAA